ATTTTCTTCATTTTCGCCCTAGTTATCTTTTTTTTCTTTCACTTGACACAATTTTATAATCCAAGAATGATGTAGTACACTAATGTGATTGGCAATGCTATCAACATACCGAAAATAACCCTGAAAAGTAAAAAGAAAAAGAGAAATTGTCACATGAATAAAAATCTTTAAAAAAATGAAGGATTAAAGCTATATACAGTGATGTATGCGCAAAGGAATTTTTACTTACGCAGTGCTAAGAATAGCTGGATGAACATTGTATTCCTTAGCAAACACAAATGGGACAATCCCTTGTGGCAATGCAGCCTAACATATAAAATTACAAAAACATGTTAAAAGAAACCAACAATTACGATATATCAAGAATGAAAAAATATAATAGAGAAAATGACACTGTGTAGCCGCTCGCAAAATAATGATCGAAAATATATATATTTTTTGTATATAATATATAAACATTTTTGGTATAATTTTGGTGACAAGAGGGGTTGCACTGATGGTAAGCAACCTCCGCTTCCAACCAAGAGGTTGTGAGTTCGAGTCTCCCCAAGAGCAAGGTGGGAAGTTCTTGGAGAGAAAGATGCCGGGGGTCTATTTGGAAACAGCCTCTCTACCCCAGGGTAGGGGTATATATACATTATGTATATTATATACAAATTTTATATATTTTTTGACTACCGTACATAAATAGTTTATGACGCGAGCTAAAGTGATAATATCCCCTTATTATACGATTTTTTATCACATTCATAATGAAATGCTGAACTATTTCTGAAGCAGCAATATTAATGAAACATTAAATAGGAAAGATAAGAATTTTGTCATTTTATGGCCACCAAAAATATAATTAATGCATAATTTACCTGTACAATGGCTACATGGAGGAGGGTACCACGAAGACCAACGGCAATGGAAGCAGCAGCCATAACTGCTGGGCCAGTCAAAAACCTCACAGCCATTGCAAATGTAGCCACTGTGTTCCCACATGCAATGATCTTTGGTTGCAAAGCCATAAACAGACCTATTCATCAATTCATAACATAACCAAATCAGAGGCAGATTTAGAACGGATGCAACAGCGTCTATTCTGATTCAATTAGTCGAGACAATTCATCAAAATTCTCCCATTAAATTTCAACTACTTTTGACAATACTACTCGCACTAGTCTAGTAAAGACATAAGCTTATCGACCCCACAAGACTATGATTTTGATAATATAACTACCCTATTACTCTATGATTGGATGGTCAAATTTGTAAAACTTAACGTACTAGAAATGTTTAGTATATGATAGAGAAAGGTACGACAAGCATTACGAAATAAGGGGAGTACAAACAACAACAACAACAACAACCCAGTATAATCTCACTTAGTGGGGTCTGAGGAGGGTAGTGTGTACGCAGACCTTACCCCTACCCTAGGGTAGAGAGACTGTTTCCAAATAGACCCCGGCATCCTTCCCTCCAAGAACTTCTCACCTTACACTTGGGGAGACTCGAACTCACAACCTCTCGGTTAGAAGTGGAGGTTGCTTACCATCAGAGCAATGGGTGGTTGGAAATAAGGGGAGTACAAAAATAGATGAAAATATGAATGCATTAAAAGTTTGACAATGTGAGTGTCAAGAATTAGTGCCGACATTTGATTATTACTTACCTAAGCTAAACATAGCCATTCCAAGACCAGCGTCTGAGAGAATAGAGATTGATTTCTCTATAATTTTGGGCATGTGCACATGCCACCTGCAAAAACAAACAAACAAACCAACCTAATTAATTGATGGACAAATTTTTAAACAATATCCACTATTCAACTGAAAATGTTTGAAAAAGTTGAGACAGTAATTAATTTTTTAATTTATGATTAGCTTACCTAAATGAGATTAGTGACCATATTAGACCAATGAGGCTCGAATACGTGTTCGGGTTACGGATAAGCTTACGCCAAACCATGATTAAAATCAAACGGGTCATAACACTGGCCGGAGGCATTTGTTTTCCGACACCGGAATCTTGAACTCCGGCGGTTTTTGGGTGTAGTTCCGATGTGGAACTGGACCCCAGTTTAGTCAGTCCAGTGGGTCCCTCTTTTTCTCCTTTTTCTTCATCTCCATCTTTTCCACCTCCATTGGCACCACCAAAGGTAAAATCTTCCCTAACAAAGTCCCCACTTTGCGGAATGGCTTCAAATATAAAATAATAAAAGAATATTAACAAACGTTTAAAAATGAAATCTTTAATTAATTTAACATATCTGTTAAAATTAATTAAAAAATAAAAATTGTACCTTTAGTATTATCCCCATTTTGAGGATGATCAGAAACCAACATCCTAATTTCTTTAGCACCATCGGACCGACCAGATTGTTCATTAGCACTGAAATCATTGCCGCCGAACACGTGGAGGCCGCCGGCTTCCGACACCGGAGAATTACTTGAACTCCAAACAAACATGTGAAGTTCCTTAGCATCATGATTATTATTTCCTTTAGCATTCGGCTGTTGCTGCTGTTGTTGTACATCCTGCTTTTGTACTTGTACATTTTGTTGTTGCTGAGATTTTGTACTTTTAGGTACTGTCGAAGCAATTTCGGGATTCGGTGCAGGATAAGATCCTGGCGCAGCAGTCTGCGCCGGAAAAAATCCAAACTTCGGAGAGTTCTGAATCAGACCTCCTGGAGCACAGTTTTCTTCAAAATTAGATGGTCTCGGGGTTGGACCCCGAGACGATTGAACAGAATACATATTATCCGCAGGACCAAAATTGGATAATCTTCCTCCAGGAAAACCCATCATAGAGTAAAAATCATTATGATTAAAATTAGATCCTCTAGGAGTTGGATTTCTTGAAGAACTTAAGCTATAAATTTCTGCTCCAGTTAAATTTGATGGTCTATGATCCATAGCAAATGATCTCCTAGACGCATTTGATTTTCTTACAGTAACATGAAGTTTACCATCTTGGCCAATTTCAGCGTCAGTTTCAAGAAAATCATGGCCATCTAAAGAAACAACATCAGATTCCACTTTAAATGAAACAATGGAAGCAGCAGTTTCTGGAAATTGTTCCATAATAAGCATCTTAGCCCCACGATATTCGAACAAAAAAAGCAAAAGGGTGTACCAAATAATACACTGTAACACCACAACTTGTACCATTAAACTACCAGAATACTCACCATACATAGCAATTAACAAAGGAATTCCCATAACAAGAGTATTAGGAAGTGTAGAAAGTGAGAATATTGTAATGCTCCATTCTAGGCTACCATTTTTTGTCAAATTAGCCCATAATGAAAGCACCACTAACATAATAACCTTTTGTAAAGAATCAGCAGCAATGAAACGGAAGTTCATTTCATAAGGATTGTTCAAGGCTATAAAGTGAAAAGAAAGTAAAGGGACTGCAAAAATAGCCACAAATCTGTTGATACCAGAACATTGATCAGGAGAAAAGATTTTCCACCAACGGACAGAACCATAAGCCAAGATCATAGCAACATATAAAGGAACAACTGCTGATAACACAACATATAGATCGTGCCAAGTGATCATTTTTGCAAAACTTGAGAAAAATCAAGAAAATATCGTAATGGAGAGTGAATGTAGAGAAGAAAAACCGTTATTTAACTGAACTGTTTGTAGTACTACTGACTAAAAAAAGGGATATATGTTTTTCTGCAGTGTGGTGCTGACTTATCTCAGAAATGTTTCTATTTCTGATGGAAATCAGAGAGTTAAAAAAAAGGACTAGTGAGAAAGTGTGTTTTTTTGGGGAAGAGGAAGAAGAAAAGGAGTGAACAAAAGAGAGTGAAATTACACGAGAGTGTAAAATGTGNGGGGGAGGGTTTACGAGGTGACCACATAGTATGGTTAGGTTAAAGGGACAAGGGTTTGCATGTAATATTGTAACGTGGCTACTATTAGATGGCCTGGGTTGTCTGAGGACGTGGACAACTTTTCTTCCTTTATATCTTTTTGCCATTGGTGTTTCTCTACAAGCAAATTTTGAAGCCTTTAGATTTCGTGGGCGTTTGGACATAAGAATTGTAAAATTTCAGGAAAAAGGTGAAAATTAGTATTTGAAAATTAGAGTTGTATTTGGATATGAATATTATTTTGGGTTGTTTTTGAATTTTTGTGAGTGATTTGAGTGAAAATTTTGAGAAACTATTTTTTTGAGTTTTTTAAATTTTTAAAAAATTCCAAAATGCATTTTCAAGTGAAAATTAAATTTTTTATGGCCAAACACTGCTTTCGAAAAAAAGTAAAAAACAAATTCATAGCCATATGGGCTCGAATTCATATAGTTGCGAATTTTCATTTAAAGTAGTTCCTCACGATAAGAAAATTACTCCTTGGTTAAGTGGAGTTTATCTTTCTTTGGTTTTTGTTAGTTGGAATTCAGAGAATCAGTGAGAGGAAGAACCCTAGAATTGGGAAGAACACACACGGAGAGAGAAAGAGGAGGAGGAGAAGAAGAAGAAGAAGAAGAAATGAAAGAAATGATTTTTTGTATTTTCAATGTAACTGTACAGCTGGATTTATATATCAATGATTAATTACCAACTTCCTAACTAACTAGTGGACCCTACAGTGCTTCCAATAACTAATTGTAATTACTGTGCACCAACTAACTCCCCTTACTCTCTATCATATTATTTCTCTTGTTTCTAAACTCCCCTTCAAGCTAGGTGGTATGAAGATATCAAGTAAGCCTAGCTTGGACAATAAGTACTCATGTTGTACTCTAGGCAAACCTTTAGTTAGCATATCTACCAACTGTTCCTTGGTTCCCACATACTCTGTGTCTTGACTAACCCTTGCTGTATTTTTTTTGTCGTATGAAGTGGCAATCAATTTCTATGTGTTTGGTCCTTTCATGAAAGGCAGTATTGACAGCTATTTGTATGGCTGTCTTACTCTCAGTGTAGATGGTTACAGGCAAGTCAAACACTATCCCTATGTCTTTGAGTAATCCAAATATCTAGAATAATTCAGCTAGTGTCGTGGCAATGCTTCTATACTCTGATTCTGCAGAGCTTCTACAAATTGTACTTTGCCCTTTGATTTACATAATATCAGTGAATCTCCATACTTAATGAAAAAACCAGTCACAGACTTCCTAGTCAAAGGGCATGCTTCCCAATCAGCATCACAGAAGCCTGAGATTACACCTTTCTTTTGACTTGATAAGAGCACTCCTTGCCCAGGATGATTCTTAACATATATGATCACCCTAAGGGTTGCCTCCATATGAGATTTCTTAGGCTTTTGCATAAACTGGCTGAGTGTTTGAACACTAAATACAATATCTGGCCTTATTACTGTCAAATATAGGAGTTTGCCCAATAATCTTTGGTACCTAGTAGCATCTGATAACAATGCATCATCCAAGTTATTGATTGTGCTTGTATGTTCATTATACCCCTGAGTAGTGAGCTTCACATTTAATTCAAGAGGTGTAGCAGCAGGCTTTGCAGCACCTAAGACAAGTTCAGAAATAAGTTCTAATGTATATTTTCTTTGATGCAATAGAAGGCCCTGTGATGACCTTACAAACTCTATTCCAAAGAAGTATTTTAACTCCCCTAAGTCCTTCATCTTAAAAGCCTTTTGTCATGTTGTTTTGGTCTTTTCTACTAGGGTCAAACCAGGCCCAGTGATGAGCATATCATCCACATAAAATAGTATAACAACAGTGCAACTTTCAGTCCCCTTTACAAATAGAGAGTGATCATGTTGACTTTGCATAAAATAAAAACTAATCAATGCTTCTAATAGCTTTGCATTCTATTGCTTAGGTGCCTGCTTAAGGATATATAGGGATTTCAAGAGTCTGCAAGCTGGTCTGGTCTCCCCCTGACTCAAAACCCTGAGGAAGAGTCATATAAATTTCATCAGGCAAATCATCTTGAATAAAAGCATTGTACACATTCATTTGATGAATGTGCTAATATTCTTAGGCTGCAACAGATAGGATGGTTCTAACAGTAACCATCTTAACAACTGGACCGAAAGTCTCTTGATAATCAATCCCTTCTTGCTGATTGTACCCCTTAGCCACTAATATGGCTTTAAACCTTTCAACCTCCTCTGTAGCTTTGTATTTTACCTTGAATATCCACTTACAACTAATAGGCATCTTTCCTAGAGGAAGTGATACAACCTCCCAGGTGTGATTAGCCTCAAAAGCTGCTATTTCAGCTTTCATAGTCTCCACCCGCCTTAGGCCTTTGACAGCCTCTTCATATGAGGTAGGCTCCACAATAGTAGAGAAAACTGCAAGGTAAGACTGATAAGAGGGAGATAAACTTTCATATGAGATATGGTTGGCAATAGAATATGGGGTGTAAATGTTTGTAGGCAGAGTGACAAAGTCCTTGAGTCATAATGAAGGATGTTTGGTTCTGAGAGAACTCCTCAGAGTAGGACAGGTCTCAATTGCATTAGACAAAGGACTAGGCATACCTTCAGACAAAGTAGGAGAAAAGTTATCACCAATTGATTGAATAGGTGAATTGGTGTGAGAAGAATGACTAACATCTGAGGAAACTTCTTCACAGATAGGAGATGAAGAAGGAGGCATGAATATAGGAGGAGTGACAGAATGAGAGTCTTTGAATGAGAAGACATCCTCTCTAAAAGAAACATCCATATTAACAAAGAAGTTTTGTGTAAGAATATCCAAGAGAATGTAACTTTTCTGAGTGTATGCGAATTCTATGAGCACAACAGGCTTTACCCTAGGCATAAACTTGTTTGTCTCCTGTACTTACCTTGCAAAACACAAGCAGCCAAGAGTTCTGAGATGTCCCAGCTAAAACTTCCTGTTGTACAACAACTCATAAGGTGAATGGCCCTTCAATACTGAGGATGACAGTTTGTTAATCAGATATGCTGCAGTAAGAACACAATGACCCCAGAACTTAATGGGAATGTGAGCTTGAAATCTCATAGCTCTGGTGACTTCTAGGGGGTGCATGTGCTTCCTCTCAGCTACTCCATTTTACTAAGGAGTGTAGGCACATGTAGTTTGATGGATGATGCCAAGGTTTTTGAACACAGTTCTACATACTGAATTTTAGAAATTCAATGTCGTTATCAAACCTTACCATCTTAACTGTTTTATTAAACTGTGTATGCATAAAGGCAATGAACTGTGGCAACACAACACAAACATTAGATTTTAATTTCAATAGGAAGAGCCAAGTCATTCTAGTGAAGTCATCAACCACTGTGAGAAAGTATTTATAACCATTAAAGGTTGCAGTTTTATAAGTTCCCCAAACATCTACATGAATGGGATCAAATGCACTTGTACTCTTGATACTACTAGTAGGAAATGGTGGCCTGAACTATTTAGCACAAGGACAAACACAACATTTATTGACAGTATTGGTAATACTAGCTAGTTTTACAGGAAAAGGTTTCCTCAGAACAATAATGAACACATGGCCACGTCTCCTGTGCCACAAAACCATATCAGTAGAACTAGTTCAGAAGTCAGTCTTTGAGCTAACAGCTGCCAAAGATACAACAGTCAGTCTCTTATTTCCATGTTGTTGTAGGAAGTACAAGCCATCTCTTTCTCTACCAATCTCCTTCACCCTACCATTGAAGAGATCCTAAAACACACAAAAATCAGGACAGAAAGAGGCAAAGCACCTTAAGTCTCTTGTCATTTTTGATAGTGACAGCAAGTTGTACTTGAATTATGGCACATAGAATACTTCTTTTAGGGTATTGTTGTTTGATGTTTGACTGTCTCCAACATGAGTCACCTGGGTGATAGCTCCATTTGGTAATACAACTTTTCTAGAGTAGGGTTCAACTATAAAAGCTTTATTTAATAGATTGACATTAGACACCATGTGGCTAGTTGCTCCTGCGTCAATGATCCACTCTTGTGGACTAGTGGAAGCTAGTAAAGCAATATTAGTACCTGCTGCATTAGCTTGAGACCAAAGTTCAACTTTTGTTTGTGAACTAGAGGTTGGTTGTCCACAAGGCTAGTAAAGCAATACTAGTAGGAATCATTTAAGCCCATAAGAAATTGATACAACTTTTGTCTGTGAAGGTATTCAATAAATTTCTTAGTTTTAGGGCAGTCACAGCCAGGTTGTGGCACTAGGTCTTTAGTCTTATCCCATAAGTCCTTGAGTTTCGAATAATACACAGTGATAGGGGAGATACTGTGTATTAGAGTTGTAATTTCCTTATGTAGATTGTAGCATCTAGTGTCATTTACTTTGTCAAAGTGCTCTTGCAAGTCCATCCACACAGTGTGGGCATTGGTCGCATATGCAGTTCCACTAATCAAAGTCGATGCTACAACATTCATCAGCCATGATAACACGATTGCATTACACCTTTCCCATTAATACCAATATTTCTCAAAATCTCTCCTTCTTCCACCTTCCGTCTACCATCCTGAGCTTATTTCGACCTAGAAGAGCAATTCTCATAGACCCATACCACAACAAGAAGTTATCTGTTAATTGAAATGAAATCAGTGAGATTCCACTCATATCAGTAGGTGCCAAATAGAGAGGATGAGTGACTGCAATCTAAATTCCTTCTTCAAATTCATCCTCTGATAATACTTGAGATGTTTCAGTCATAGTTGCAGTTGTTTCCTGCTCAGAGTTGTCGACCGCTATTTTTGACTACTTAGGGCTTCGAATTGAGATGCGAAGAAGAGAATTGAACAGAGAAGAGAATAGAGGAGATGATTACAAATTCGAATCAATTTGCGAACTTCAATCCATAGCTCGAAGCTCTGATACCATGTTAGATTTCAAAGAATCAGTAAGAGGAAGAATGATTAATTACATCAATGATTAACCATAGCTCGAACTCTTATACTCTGTACAGCTGTATTTATACATCAATGATTAATTACCAACTTCCTAACTAACTAGTGGACCCTACAGTGCTTCCAACAACTAACTGCTTCCCTTACTCTCTATCATGTTATTCCTCTTGTTTCTACATTTTTGTTTAGTAAGAAGTGCTATTCCGATCCGTTTATTAAACTTTTAAAATAAAATAAAATAGAGAAGTTTTGTAGTCATTAATTATTATTTTGATGATTCCAGTTAATTTTCTAAATATCACATGTGTTAGAAAATTATTATTGGGCCGGATCCACCCTTAAGGGATGTTAATTAGTCCGTTAATCAATTGGTTAGTCCACCTCTTAAAATTCTATTATAATATAATATACCATTATGGGTCTTGGAAAAGAGCTTTTTCCAATTACACATGATGGCGCGAGTTCAAAAGGAAAATTATCTGCATCAATATCTAGATTGTAAAAATAAGGGAGTTCATCCGTCTTGTGAGAATTTTCGATGACTGATGATATAAGTTATGATTGTTGTAAATTCATTTTCCCAGTAATTCTCCTAAATTAACTAGTATTTTATGTTAGTTACATCAACATGAGTTTAGTAGAGGTTATAGCTTATCAAAAAATTTCTTTTTGTCTATCATTAAACATATATAAGACTTACAATTTTTATTATCAATATTGCAACTCCTATACTACTATTATGAACTGATATGGTTTTGTTTTTTGCTTTACAATGTGGCAGATTAAACCTTACTTTAGAGTAGAAAAATCATATGTCGTTGTATATTCAAGCTATCTAACTAATACAATTAATACATATCATCGCATTAAATATATTATTAGTAAGAAACATACACCATTTGTCTCATAATCATTATTAGCATCACCAATGCTTTTGCATAGTCCTTATATATGTATTAAAAAATTTATTAAATATTTAATTGTGAACTCAATTACTAATTTGAGATCGTTATAGGAACCCATAAATTTGAAAGTCTAGATCTGCCTTTGAGCATCACGATATTAAAAGTGCATCATTAAATTAGTTTTCGTAATTCCTTTGCAGAGGGTTGAATCACCTTAGCTTAATTATTGAGGTAATGTAAAAAGTTTAAAGTCACCAATTTATGCACCGAGAGAAGGATTGTGAAGAACAAAACATCATTACATTGGGTAATTGTATCTTAGTACAAAAACTACTACTTGCCGAAAGGTCCGCCGCTAAATGATTCAATTCGGCAAAAGTGGATTCTTACCAAAGTATATTAAGTTTAATTTGGGAAAATTATAATGTATAGTTGCTCCCAAAAATAATCTGATAAAATGTATAATTTTTATATACCTAATAAGTGTATATTTTCTGAATATTTGACTAGCAACTGTAAATATATTTGGCCTACACTACTAGAAATTCGGGCAAAATCATCCAAAAAAACTAACCAAAGTTAGTCGGTAATGGCCAATAACCGTCCAAAATGCGACCATTTACGTGCGGATGGTATTTTGAAGGTCGGAAGGGCATACCGACCAAAGTTGGTCGGAAATTACCAACCAACTTTGGTCGGTCAATTAAATTAAAGAAAAAATTGCCAGAAAAACTGATCAAAGTTGGTCAATTTTTTAATTATGTAATTAAAAAATGCACCATCCGGGAATCGAGTAGGGGTCTATACCGTGGCAGGATACTATTCTACCACTAGACCAATTTTGGTCGTTTTTTTGGCCGGTTTTTGACCGATCAAAATTA